AAAACACAATAAATTTTATAAATAAATTTAACATATTAAGCATATATTCAACAAACTTAAGTAATCTTAAGTATTATAAAACAAAATCTGGCTCTGGAATGATTTACTTTAACAACCCACATCAACTTCTAGACAGACTTGAACTACTCGGTGGATCAATTCTTGCTGGGAATAATGGTGTTATAAATGAGTTTTCTCAAATCGCACATCTTCTCAACCAAATGAAAGTAATCTCAAAAAAACAACTGAATGATTTACTAAAAAGTTATATACCAATAAGATAAAAAAAATGGAAGAACGAGCTATTCACATTTCCTCAATAAATAGGGAAAAAAGAGGGACAAGTAGACCCGGTGATTTTACTATCAAATTTAATCCTTCTTTGAAACTCGACCCTGAAAAGAAACATCAACTTGCTCTTGATCGGTTGTCCATGACTTATTCTTGGTACAACATTAGAAGTGATTATGGAAACAATAAAATCAAATACACTCACGATGGAACCAACTGGCAAACAATTACTTTTGTAGATGGAATGTATTCATACTCAGATATTAATGATTACATTCATCAATATATGTCTCAAAAGTCTCATCACACAACAGATTCAAGTGGAAAAAAGACTTACTCAATCAATCTAACTTTTATACTATCTACCTATCGAGTGTTAGTATCACTTGATGGTGATTATCAACTTGATTTGAGAGGAACAGATTTTGGAGACCTAATTGGATTTGGAAAGAAACTTATTACAAAAACAGAGTATGGATCAAAACTACCAAATATCACAAATTCGATTGACTTATTAAATATCAACACAACTGCAATAACTGATAGTATTGTAAATGGAATAAATACTAATACCATTGCTGTAATACCAACTGATAATCTCACAAGGTCTTATCCATTTACTTTCGAACCTAAAAGACCATTGTATTGTCCTGTCTCTTCATTTCACATTGATGAAATGAGAATCTATGTGACAGACTCACTTGGAAGACCTGTAAATTTTAATGGTATTGATTGGTTTATGACTTTGATACTTCACTCGATGTAAATGGGGGGTTTGCATCCCCCCAAAACCCCCCTGCTGCTACGCGCGTCTCGTTAATAATCATTTTGTATAACTATTATAATAAAATGATGCGACAATCAGAGTTTAAAATGAGATTAGACCCTTAATTGGGTAGGTATACAAGACAACATATTTATGGTGAAGGAATGATGGATGTGTTTAAATCAGTTGGAATATTTGGAAAGACAATGAAAAAAGCTGCTAAAAAAGGCGTTGAAAAAGTGGTGACAACAGCTGCAACAAAAACCGGTGAACATGCTGGTAAAAAGGCCGATGATAAAATACTTCAATTGTTATCAAAAAGTAATAATAAACCAAAAGTTACTTTTAATGAAAATGTAGAGACAATTCCAATTAAAAAAGTTGAGACAATTCCAAGTAAAAAAGAGATAAATCAAAGAGTAAATGCCATTCTTAGTGGAGGATCAACACGTAAGAGAAAATTATATAATTATTAAAATAAAATGAAGTCCTTTAGAAATCCAAAATATTTAGAAAGATATGAGGATGTTGTTTATGACCTGGAACAGGCTCTAGATACAGCCCCAGCAAATAACGCTCACCTAACTAAAACAGGTCTTAGATTTGTCGCCGATAATACAGGAGAAACCACCCCTTTTGATTGGTATAACGCCCGATTATCAATGGCTTTTAAAGTAAATAAACTAGCAAACGGAGCAAACATCGCGGTTGATGACCATAATGGAATTGTAAATGGTAGTAACTCCTTTATACAAAAATTTAGTATAATAGCAAATGGAAGAGAAGTTTATAGTTGTAATTATGCGAATCATATTGTAAATATTAAAAATTTACTCGAATATAATCCTTCATACGCAGAGAGTGTTGCTACAAACGAATTATATTTTCTTGATACGACAAGAGAAGCAGAGGAAAGAGAATTTGAAGTTAGTGGCACAAATCAGTTAGCTAAAAGAAGAGCAGAACATAGCAAAGGTTTCGCCGCAAGAAAAGCTCTGTTGGGAGCTTCAGCCACAGTAAACTGTGAAATTCCTCTCAATAGATATTCTTTCTTTGAAGCATTGGAAGACAAGCTACTTCCTATTACAAAAATCGAACTAAATATTGAAATTGAAAAAGATTCGAATTTAATTTTTCAAGCCGCCAATAATTGTAGAGTTATTATAACAAGACTACAACTTTTTATTCCAAGACTTACTTTTAATTCTGAAGGACAAAAGTTGTACATGGAAAATTATCTTAAACCTTACAAATGGGTATATTTGAATGAGGTGGTTGAAAGGTCAAATAATACACAACAACAGACAGGACATTTTAGAATTACAAATGCTATTTCAAAACCACGCCATGTATTTATTTTTGGAATTGATACGGCAAGAATTGATTCTCAAACGGCGAATCCATTTTTATACGACACTTTCGATCCTGGAAGTTGCGAATGGAAATGAATACCCCGATATTCACTTTCAACCTTCTACTGATATGACAAGAGTTTTTAGAAGTGTAATGTCATACATTTATGCGAATAATGATTATCAAGGTGGAACACTTCTCAATAGAACAAATTTTGAGTCTTTGTTTCGTTTTGTTTATTTTGACCTGACAAAACAAAAAATGGATATCAAAGACGGTGTTACAAAATTAGCATTTCATTACGAATTAACTGCTAATCCAAACGCTGATTATAATATTTACGCATTAGTCTTACATGAAAGAGTAGCAGAAATATCACAACAAGATGGAAAACTATTGCTTCGTGCATAAGGGAACCTACGGTTCCCCTATAACCCCTCCCTTAGCTACACCGCATATGATTACACAGAATTTTCCACAAGTTGTTATGATTACACAAGTTATGATTACACAACATTGGTTGAAAAAAAAATCACACCATAATCTCGTGATTTAAAACAATAACCTTCAAGAAGGCCACTATGACATAATATTTAGATTTTAAAAATAAAATCTAAATATATCACACCTAGAACATTCAAACTAATTAAAAAACTTAACCACCAACTGAGAGAAAACAAATAAAAAAAGATTAAGTGATGCGATTAAATTTTATATAACTAATATAATAAAAAAATGACTAGTTATATAGAATACGGAGTAACACTTACAGATGGGCAAAAGTCAAAACTGGCTTCTGCGATAATGAATCAATCACCACTAACTCTTCGATTAAAACATTCTCATCTTCGAGGTTCTGATGAGTTAATGTTAACAAAAAGACAAATTGATAAAATAAAAAAATCTATTGCAAATGGTACCGGATCGGATATAAAAATAAGTAAAACTCAAATTAGAAATTCTGTGAAACATGGTGGAAACTTATTTTCATCACTCGCTTCCCTAGGAGCAAAAGTACTACCATATGCAATAAAAGGAATTTCAAAAGCTGTTCCTGCATTAGCAACCGGTGCTGCTACTGCACTTGGAGAACTTGGAATAAATAAAATATTTGGAAAAGGAATCACAATTCCCCCAGAGTTTTTCCCAATGCTACCACCTATTGTAAGAGAATTTACCAAATCACAAATAAACCAAATTAACAAAGCTTATCAAACAGGAGGTCGACTGGTTATTAAACCAACTCGTAAACAGATAGAAGGAGGATTTTTAGGTACTCTTGCTTCTATTGGAATTCCAATGGCAGTTAGTTTAGTATCTAAGATGTTTGGTGGGGGACTTCAAGTTGATAGAAGTGGATTATCTAATATTTCAAACGTTTACTTTCCACCCACACATGGAGAGGGTTATCCTTATCGCTCACCACCCTTTATTGGTACATGGGAAAACCCTATAGGAATGGGTGTTAAAAAAAAAAATACCAAAGGCAAGGGTCTACTATTAGGAAAAAACAGCCCATTCAACTCAATTCCCATTCTCGGCTCCATTTTGTAATTAAACCTTTATCCAACTTTGACCTCATGGAATGGGTAAAAAGACTTGGTATTAAACATTTCAGAGGAATATATAGTCGTGATAAACTTCCAAACAAAATAAAAAAAGAATGTGGAATAATTAATCTGGATGATATAACAGGGCCTGGAACACACTGGATTTGTTATAGAAATATAGATTCGGTAGTCGAATATTTCGATCCTTTTGGTTTGATAATGCCAAACGAAGCATTAGAGTATTTTAATACTTCTGGAAAACGTATTGTTTACTCGATAGATGAAATACAAAATCGTAGTACTGTTCTCTGTGGTTATTGGTGTTTATACTTTCTATTTGAGCGACAACGTGGTACTAGTTTTCTAGATGTAATACGTAACCCTCATTTTGATAATGACAACAGCGATTTTATAAAGTCATACTTTGGAGGATAAAAATAACATTTATTAAATATTATTTTTTTAATCTTCATCATGATCATCATCCGGCGCATTTTTTAGTAATTTAATTCTCTCAACTTTTGTATTCAAATCTTTAACACTTTCAACTACATCATCAAATTTTGAGTAAATGTCAATAAGACGATAAAGTTTCTTCTTTTTATCACTATTTATTTTCAACCAAGAATACTCCCCATTTCTGATTTTTTCCCACATCTCACATTCACCAACCATTAGCACTCTAGAAAGATCGTCGTTTTTCTTTCTAAGAGACTCAAACTCATTATTTATTTTTATCCTTACTTCTTTCTCAAAATCCTTTAGTGTTTTAACATCCATCTTTTTTTCTATCTCTGAAAAGAACTTGGCTTCCATTTATTATATAAACAGATAGTTTCCTTTTACAACTTTGTTAAGCGTATTTGATTTCTCACTTATTTCCATAAGCAACTCAAATATTTTTATAAATTTAGCATCGTTTTCCAATCAAGAAAAATCAGCATATTCATAACTCTCGTTTAAAAAATTATATATCTTTTGAAGTTCACTTTTAACAAAATTAGATCTGGTAGACATATTTTATCTAAACAGTATATTAAATGAAAGAATCTTATTGTATAGTAGATAAAAGAGTAACTCCTTGCACAGAGCCAAGTGGTTACCAAAATGATAAAAGAGGTAGAACTCAATTCTTTTGTAGATGCGCAGTTTGCGGAAATAAAAAAGTTAGATATGTAAAAATGGGGACGGTTTCTCAAACTGGAACTGGAAAAAGGAAAACAAAAAAGAAGTCACAAACTAATAAGCCCGTCTGAAGGGGCGGGCGTCTTTGATATTCACAAATTGATTGGAAAACTTCCAAAACCAAAAGCAGGATGGACTCCAGGTTCTTATAAATATATGGGACCCTACAATCCTCTAGACAAACAATTAAGTTATAATCATGAAACCGGAAAAGTGCCAGAGTGGAAAGTTAAACCGTTTAACAAAGTCGATGAGATTGCAGCTTATCACGATATTTGTTACGACATGGGAAGAAACAAAGGTGATTGCGATAGAGAGATGGTACAATCATTGGATGAGATACCATATGGTGAAATGCCAAAGTGGGGTTCAACTGCTAGATTCTTGATTAATACAAAACAAAAACTTGGTCTTGGCATTCAAAAAAACGTGAGTCGGCGTTGAGTAGTGATTGGTCTCAACAATTTGCCGACGAACTTCACAAACCAATCACACGAAACTTTCAAAAGAGATCAGTAATCTCAAACGGAATTGATGATATCTGGGCTGCTGATTTAGTTGAAATGCAAAAGTTTAGTAAGTGGAATAAAGGAATTAAATATCTGCTGATTGTTATTGATGTGTTTAGCAAGTATGGATGGATTAGGGGATTGAAAGATAAAAAAACTGAAACTGTCAGTAAAGCATTCGATGACATATTCAAAAGTAAACGTAAACCTCAAATGTTATGGACTGATAAAGGTTCGAATTTATAAGCAAACATTTTAAAGATTTTCTGAAAAGAAAGGGTATCAAGCTGTATCACACTGAAAACGAGGAGAAATCTAGTGTTGTTGAGAGATGAAATAAAACAATGAAAAACAGAATGTGGAAGATGTTTACTGTGAATAACAACACTATTTAATGGGATAAGATAGATAAACTAGTTGATGATTACAACAACGCTAGACATTCTAGTATAAAAATGACTCCTGTTGAAGCAAGTAAAAATTGGTCTTATTTGTATGGTGATTCGATTTACTTATAACCTGGTAAATCAAAGTTTGCGGTTGGTGATCGTGTTAGAATTTCTAAGTATAAGAGGAAGGTATTTGATAAAGGCTACACACCAAACTGGACAGAAGAAATATTCGTAATTGATAAAGTTTTACCTACAAAACCTGTTACGTATAGCATTGTTGATCTGATGGGAGAAAAAATTAAGGGTTCTTTCTACAACCAAGAATTACAAAAAACAAAACAACAAACATTTAGAATAGAAAAGATTATCAGACGAGATAATAAGAAAAAAATGGCATTAGTAAAATGGAGTGGATATCCTGATAAATTTAACTCATGGGTTAGTTCTAAGGATTTGGTTGATTTTTAATACGAATTTCGTATTAAAAATAGTTATTTACTCGTTTTCTTCATCAGAGATAACTAAGTCTTCGTCTACTTGATCAATTATTTCTTCAATATCGCTTTGCTCTTCATCTTCCTCTTCAATTGTTAGTAAAGTCTCTCTAGGTTTGAGTGGTTTGACATAACACTCATGAACTTTTATTTGTAAAGATGTTACAGTTTTACTTATGAAGATTCCTTCAATTATCAGAGCCAATTTAACATTACAGTACTGATCAATATATTTAAAAGGATTTAAATCCTTACCTACCTTTCCCTTAAACAAAGATAAAATTTTCTTTGATTTTTCTGAGTAAATAAGTTTTGCATAAAAAACTGGTGGAGATGAGGGATCAATTCTTGTTTTCTTCTTTCCTTTTTTATCAGTGTATTCTTCCTGTTTGTAATATAAAACAGAAGTTAGAGTTGAAGCAAATCCGCTCCGTATTCATTCTCTAAATGTTGTTGAGATAGAGTTGTTACGTTATTAATAACTTCCAAAAATGCTTTTTCTTTCTTACTTGGTTCGCTATCTTTATCCCAAAGACATACTGGAATACTATAACCTACTAACTTTTTTGTTTCTTGATTTTTCTTTTCACTAACACCAAAGCTAAAAAGAAAAGGTGTTTCGATTACAAGCGGTCCTTTCTTTCCATTCGAATATTTGATTTCAATTGGGATACGCTTGTATTTAATCTTACTATCTTTGACTTTAAATTCTTTGGCTTCTTTAAAGATAATATTGTTTTGGGTAAGATTTTCGTAACTGGACAACTGCATTTTGATTATAATTATTTAATCTTTAAACTTTTTTTCTAAAAATTCAAATTTGTATCTATCCCCATCTTTTTTGGAAATCACTGTTTTGTAATATTTTACTTTTCTACAAATATTAGAAATAATTGAAAAGGAAATATCTAATTCGAGTGAAGCAGAAGTAATACTTTCATATTTTTTTTGTTTGTTGTTTTTGATATTAAATGAGGTGATTGGTTTGCTATTTCCTTTTCTAATATTTTCCACCAAAGTTAGTAATTGTAAATTGTAAATTTTATTATTTGTTCTAACAGAATCAATATGATCAATAACAAATCCTTCTGGAATAACACCTCTTACACATTCCCATTCAAACCTGTGTATATAGTGATTCTTTGGTTTAATCAATTTTTTATCATTGACTTTAAACTGATAGTATCCCTTATCAGTCAAATTTTTTTTTAAAATTCTTCCAGTTTTTACATTTAAAATTTCACCGTCTTTTGAAGCGGCATAATTACTAAAGATTGGATGAATATAGAACTTCTTTCCTCCAATTGTAACTTTTTTGCGGTTCATTTTTTTTAAAAAATATTTTAATTCTTAAACCAATTTACTACCAAAGAAGTTTTGTTGACCAATAGTTAGCCGATTCTGGATTATTATGAGTTAATTCTCCTTGTATATTCTTAATCTTTGTAGCTCGAGCAAGATATTTATCTCTTCTATCTTTGTCTTTGTGAGTAAGATAATCCGCATATTTTGTCCATCCAAAATGAACTTTTTTTCCACTTGTAAGTGTAACCATGTATTTATTATTTTTTCGTGTTGAATAATCAAGCGATTCAGCACCGAGGTTTTTAGCATTTCTGGTTAGTTTTTTAAACTCTTTTCCACTAACAAGATATTTTTCATCTGGGATATAATCTGGGTCAACAGCATGTCTATAACCATCATCAACTATAAAATCCAGTTCCTCCTTTGTAGGAGTAGTTTCTCTTGATCTTGGTTCCATTTTTATTAATTGTTTATACTATTTTTTTTATTAAAGTGTTTAATCTTATAACAAAAAAAAAATGTTATAAGATTTAAAAATATTAATCACTATCACTATCACTATCACTATAACAATATCTGTAACGATATCTATCTCTATCAGCATTGTAATCCCAAAATCTATCATCAGCTTCATATTTTATTTTAAACTTACTAAAAAATAATTCAAAATCATCATAAATATTTTTGAAACCAGGATAGGGCTCAATAAAATTTTGTTCATCTCCATGATAACAATCTTTTTTATATTCAATAAGGCGATTAAAATCATTAAATTTTTTTTAATCTTGATTAAGTTTTTAATATCACTACTTTTAATCTCAAAATTACTAACATCTTTAAATTGGTCTAAATTTTGATATGCTAAAAATAATTTAATAATTTTTTTTATTTTATCAACTTTATTATTTTCAAATAATCCACGAGTTGCTTCGTTCATGTTATCAAGAAAATACTTAAATTCATTATTAATACCTAATATAAAAAGGTATTCGTTCTTAAAATCCTTTGCGTAATCTGGTATATTCTTGATTAACATTATGTTTTATTATTAGACACAAATGTTTAACTTATATATTTTTTATATATTTAAAATTCAAACGCAATTTCAATATTCTTATTAAAAACATTATTATTTATAATTTTAGAAATTTGTGGGATTGTGGGATTGTGAAATTTGTGAAAAATTTGATAAGGGATAATAAGCTAAAAAAATGATAGGAAAAAGTCATGACGGTTTTCAATGACAGAATTAAACAGAGGTCTCTTAAATAACAGGGGTAATCACAAAAATGATAGCAAAAAAGTCATGACGGAATTGGAAAACGAAATAACCAGAAAATAAACAGAAAAAAAATATTTTTGGAAAAAATTAAAATTAATGACTGTTTCAATGACAGAGATAATCAGAGGTTTTTAAATGATAAAGATATTCGGTTCAAAATGACACGAAAAGTCATGACATAAATTTCAAACGGTTTAATCAGAAAATAAACAGAAAAAAGTGCTGTAGGATAACCATTTACCTAACTACTCTTTCTAAAAAAAACATAAAACATAACATAATTTATATAGCGCTAACTCCACTAATTGACCAAAGCGCTTTACAATTCATAATATTAAAATAGTTAAAAAGATCCCACTGGTAATAAAATATGAATAAATTAAAAACCTATCAGCAGTCTTATTTATAAAAATATCACAATAAATCCTATTCTAAATTATCAAAAAGTTAAACATTATATGCTTTTTTAAAAAGATCGGTCTTTAAGTGTTTCTTGAATAAATTAATTGTAACTAAACTTCTAAGATCTAATGGCAGCTCATTCCAGAGTTTAGGTGCAGCAACGGAAAAGGCCCTGTCTCCGTATGTTTTAAGTCTTGACTTCGGAACTGCCAGAAGTTTTTGATCAGTAGAGCGTAGCGTACGTGAACATGTACGATAACTAAGTAATTCCGTGATATATAATGGTGTCATACCATTTAGCGCCTTATAAACTAACAATAAAACTTTAAAAAGAATCCGAAAATGAACAGGTAACCAATGCAGTTGAATCAATATAGGGGTGATATGATCAAATTTCTTGGTTAAAGTAACGATACGAGCAGCCGTGTTTAACACAGACTGCAAACTACCTATCATATGCTTAGGGAGGCCATACAATAAAGAGTTACAATAGTCTAGTTTAGAAGTAACAAACGCATGAACAAGAATTTCCGTAGTTTCCTCAGTGAGGTACTTCCTAATTTTAGAAATGTTCCTTAAGTGGTAGTACGACGTTTTGCAGATCATATTTACATGTTCCACCATATTACAACATTCATCAAATATGACACCGAGATTCCTAGCTGAAGATTTGGGGAGTATTTGTTCATCACCAACTGACACATATGAAATGGCAGGCTTTGGGCGGAATTTTGAACTAATTACAATCACTTTAGTTTTCTCCTGATTGAGCTTTAGCAGGTTGTTTGTCATCCACCAGTCAATATCTTTGACACATAGCTCAACAGATGACTTAGCTTGAGCGAGGTCAGCAAAGCAGTCAGTTTTAAAAGAAATGTAAAGTTGGTAATCATCAGCATACAAATGGTACTGTAGATTATGAAGATTGATAATATCAGCAATCGGAGATGTATATAATGAATACAGCAAGGGACCTAAC